CTGTGTCTTCATGCATGACTAGGAAGGATTGAGTATGAGCCTTTGTTACTGGAGCACGGGCTTATATTTTGTGCTCCAGCTGACAGCAGTGAAGGCTGTTATTCCCCCAAAAGGGCAGAAGGATGGCTGCTGCCATTCCTGCAGCCTATTGTAGCAATACAGCATGTTCTGGCTCAACCTGTTCTCTATCCCTACCCTCAGTACCCCTAACAAATGACGCCACTTGAAGACAAATGACTACGCAGGGTTTTAGGTGGCTGACTCCGGGCACATCTGGTCAAAAGAGTGCGATCTCTACCAAAATCTCAGCTGTGTTGCTCCAGATCTGTTTTTGACTATTCAGTCAAACATTGGCGCTTCGACATTACGGTAAGAAAGGCATGCGCGCAGCCCAGCAGATTTCACAGCGTTCCCTTGGGTAGGATTCCAGGCTATTCTACACCTACACGTACTGGTAGAGATAATGGATACAAATACACGCCCTTATGCTTTCCCATGCGTATACAAAAGGGTCATTGGCCAACACTGGATTTGTCTCCACTAAGTACTCAGGTTCATGTGATCACAACTTTCATTTTGAATATGGAAGAACATAAATGGAAATTAATCCAATAACGTTTCACCATTAAATAACGCTTTTCCCAGAGAACTACACAGCAAGCTCTAGCTTAGCCGTGTGCTTCCCAGGGAAAAATAACCTGTTCCTTACAAGAGAAGCTTCTCTTTCTTCCATCGCACAGAGAAAATAAGGTATGTTAGTGAGGGCTGGAAAGACCTGCTAATACTTTAGCGCTGGGAAGAGAGATCAGGACATTAAACATCCTGAGCTCTCTGCAACATATTTTCCACAGTGGTATAGCCCTTGAAAAACTTCAGCACACCGGGGAGCAAAGATGGGGCTGCAGCAGGGACATGTAGAGACCTGTGCTGCTTTCCTTGCCCCTTCTTCCTGTGGCTTGCCCTTAACTTGAGAAATGTTTTTCAAGCTTGCTATGTGCCTGTATGACAGGGGATGAAAATAATTCCATCACAAGCATTATGAATTCCCTTGTAACAAAAATAATCCTGCAAAATTCTTTTGGCATTAATATAGATTTCACACATACTAAAAAAATTTACTCTAGAATTTAGATATTTAATAACAGTCAGTACTAACCAGGCCACTAGTTTAGAGTTATTTTCATGTAGTTTAACGGACAACAAAATATTGACCACTTTCCACTGAGTACGTGAAGCAAAATCTCGGGTCAGTCCAATACTAGGATGATTACCTGAACATTTCTAAATACTCATCAATCAACCATAATAAATACTGAGTATTCTGCTTGACGTTGAACTCAAACACGCTTCATTCCTACTACTCAGCCCTTGCATCTTCTCCGAGCACTCGGCTGCACTGTACTCGGCTGCTTCAAGGCAAAAAGTCACCATTAAGATTTATATAATGTTATGGAAAGATCATCAGCCCAGCTGTAAACTTGGCCCATTTGATTTAGGTGAAATCCAGCAAGAAATGAAAATAGTGTTCAAGGTCACACTGAATAAACTTACAAACTGTTGGGGAGGTTTTGCATTGTTTTATAAAACAAAATTGCAACTTCTCTGTATTGCGTGTCTCTTGAAACTAAACATAGCTTGAAATATCAATTCACAGTATGTTTTTGAACGGTTTCCCCAGGGTTGTCTGCTTTCTGCATAGAGACAGGGCAAGCATTCAAGCTGTGGGAGGTGCAATATCAGAGACGAAAAAGCCGAGATTTATTACACCATGTTAGGATCAAACTATAATTTTGCAATTATTGTGTGAATTGTAATCATAAGCAAGCTATTTACTGTCATTGCTTCACTTTGGCACGCAAATACAACATCCACAAAATCTGCTGTTGTCTCCTGTACTGACCTAGCAATTCCTATCTTAAAGAAAAGGCTTCTGAGTTAAAAGGAATATCTGCACCGGCAGCAGCACGTAGGAAAGCAGAACACGATGTGAGTATATGGGAAAAGCATCTTGAGAGTAGGTCTACCCACCCGGGCTTGCAGACTTTACTGCAGTGGAAGGACACGGAGGTGACTCCAATTTAGGAGCCTTCATGGTCACGCTGTCTGACTGTACACCTCTTTAGTGTAACGTATTTTTTTAATTTGCTGTGTGGGGTTGAAAATACCTCCTGAAAAGCAATTAAACAGCTGAATGTTTACTGTAGCTTTGCTAGTAGATGGAACAAAGGGCTTATTCTACCAGAATAAGACACTGGACAACAATAAGGGGGGAGTTCAAGGATAAAATGAACTAAAAGATAATATTTCTGATCAAATTTCTTTTAAAGAAAGACTAACCCTTGAATATTACAAGTCCCACATTTACATAGTGAAATCATGTTTACTTTCATAAATTGTGTCTATGCAATGCAGACTTGCGTATAAATTTTCCTGGTTCATATCTTTAATACCTACTGGTGTGTGCAAATATGTAGATCTGAACATTTTAAATGGAAGCCAGAATGGGGAGAAAGCATGGTTTAATACTTTGGGAATGTGGATCCAGATAAGTGTTTTTATTCATAGACTGGTCATAGACTATGTACATGGCCTCAGATATTAATTCTGCTTTGCTTCTCAATTTAAAAATGAAAAGTCCTCCCTTTTTAAAAATGAAAAGTTCTGGGAACAACCTGAATATAAATCACAAGCAGACTGAGAAGGGCTCAGCGATGAGAGCTATCATCAAGAGACGGAGAGATGAGACCATTGGGCAAGTCAGCATACAAAGTTGGACAAAACAAGAGCAGTTTTCCCAAAGCCTATTTCAAAGATCCGGAGGTTGAGTTCTCTCCAATATATAACTAGAGCAGAGTGTCTAAACCAAACAGAAAGTCAAGTTCAGCTTTGCCTTATGGCTATGGTGCACAACTATCACTGTTAGGTAAGCAGATGTGGTACTACATGGTGGATAAGAAGAGGTTGATAGGGTAGGGAGAGAAAACTGCCTCTCGGCATTACAGTGAGAGCTCCCAAGAGAGACTGTATATGAGTAACTGTGCATTTGAAGGGGTCAGAGACAAAAAATGCTGCTCATGAGGACAGCAGAAATTTCTAATAGGAAACGGCAACCAAATGGCAGCCAAAGTTCCTTTGATACAAGTGGATAAAACTCTTCATATAAGAAGAGCTTCTACCTTCTCCAAGCTTTCACTCGTTTTTCATAGCAAATTCAATCTGAAGGGGTTTCCTGTGACTCGTAAGTATCTAGAGACGAGTGTTTCAATTCCAGCATCTAGACCTAACTAGAACCACCTCAAAAGTGTCAAAACACCACAAGAAAGGCAGTTCTCCCAGTAACTCAGACAGTTAATCATGCCTTATAAGAGTCCCAAAACGAGCACGTCAAAAAGCTTATCTGAATGACTCATCAAAGCTTCCAAGTAAAACTGTGGAAGAGTGTAATCTGAAGCGAAACACCACTGCGTTGCAAATGCTCTCATGCTTCTGACAGCTGCCGAGCTAGATTCAAGCTCTGCATCCTTCGCTTTTGTATTTCCTAGTAGAGCATTCTCATTTATTATCCACCTGACCGCAGCAGGTAATGACAGGCCAGGTCAAACCTCACTGACTTTCATTTGAAAAACTTCATGCTGATTTTAAGGGTCTTTGGACCAGATCTGATGCAGAAATCAAATATTTGCATAACTACAGACTATTTTTTCCCCAGAATAATTCCATGATGGATTTTTATGACACACCGGAGAGATGGAGAGATGAGACCATTGGACAAGTCAATACACTTGCATCAAATGTGATATCAAAGCAGTAGATTTTTTTTCTCTTTGCCACTTCTTTTATCTAGGTTTTCTTTTGTATGGCAAAACCCAGAAATGAACAAATGCTGACTCAATACTTCTGAGATTAGATTAATATGTAACACAGCTAATGAAATTTGTAGTTAAGCTGAAGTTATGTTTTGCTGGATTTTGTTTTTGGCAGCTTGAACTGCCTAAAATCCTAATTCAATTGCAGTCTACTCGCAGAGCGCAGCTGTTTTGCTTGGCTAAACTTTTCTCGTCACTTAATAAGATACTTTTTTATTTAACTTTCAGTTCTGCCTAGGAGCCCCAGTGGGTCTTTTACAACAGAAGATTATTATTAGAAATTAATTAAGTATTCTTTTCAATTCTGTCTCCTGAGAGTAACTAGGCATTGCTGCTGATCTCCTCTGCATTAAGACATTACTGATTGTCATTCATAGGATGACAGCGTGGATGTCTCATCTGGAAGATACATAACTCCATAAATATGAAAGATTTGAAAGACATTTAATACAAAATATAATAAATCAGTACAAATACTAAACATATAATTGCAGTGTCAAACATAGCACAGGCATGTGAAGACTATAACACTAGAATGAAAATAAACACACATTCCAAAGACAAAAAAAAAAAAAAAAAAAAAATCTTATTGCAATTATAGGACCCCTGTGGATTACACTTAGTCTGTGTTTCAGCATGTTGTAAACACCAACTAAATGATTCTAAGAACATCAAATGCAATTAAAGAAAAGACAGGTGATTTGATGCTTTCTTTTCTTAAGTGACCAGTGCCTACAAAGTATTTGTTGTCACTGCCCACCTTCCATCGCACATGACTGCAAGAAGCACAGACTAAGGCTCCCACCTCTGCTGGTGGGCTCAGCTGGCACTACCTGGCTTTTTCCAAGTGAACCAAACCCAAGAAGCACCAATATCCTGATGTAGTTTTTGATGTGAGGCCTTGAATGTGCATATGGATGCGTTACTCACAGAATTAGCTATGCATTTAACGTGGCACTTGATGCTTGAGACGGCAGTCAGCCTTTTTAATTTTCACTAAACTCAGGGGTATATGTATGACTAACTGCTGTCATACTCTAACCAGGAAGGGATGTGAAGAGAAGAATGCCACCATGGGTCAACAGAACAACAATCAATCACTTACTCTTAATAGTAATGTGGAATTCAACTTACTTTTTCGGTCTGTAGTCAGGGATGGACCTGTCCAGTGATATCCTGTCACTGAGTTGGGCATTGTAACCATATTCTTCATACTTAGTCTCTGATTCATGGCTATCATCTCTCAGGGTAGCAGCCATTCCCCCCTGGCCCAAGCCTCCTGGACCTTCAACTAATCCCATGGGCTTTGCCAGACCTAAATGAAAAAAGACAAATAAATCAAATCATTTATATAAAAGAAATGGATCTAACCTCTTCTGTGACCACAGAATATTTTTACATAAACAAGATCTGAACTCCCATGAAACTCAGCTCTGAAACCTTCATGGCTCTGTAGAAATTATCCTCAGCTTTTCAAACCAGAGCCCATATCAACACATTTTGTAGTATCAGTGCATAATTATTAAGGAGCACATTATAAAGAATCAATTAGAGGCTTTCATGATTTCTCCTTTTTCCTGTATAAATCCCTGGAAACAGGAATCTTGTTCCCAAACATTCCAAAATGCCTAATTAGCCTTAAGATAATTAAGATAAATTTTCCTCATAAGAGCTGGAGGCCAGGCCCTTTCCCACTATAGCCCATTATAGCTCCGTTCACTTTAAGGGAGATACGTTGAATTTCTACCGCGTGTAGATCTGCCACTTTAGCTCCGTATTAATGTTAGTTCTGGAACAAGTGTTGGGGTTGAGGCTTCTGCTCTGTGGCTCAAAGACCACCTGCAGCTCTTGAACAGTTCAGGTTTGGTTCCCATGCTGGGAATACAGCTATGTGACTAGTCACCAGCTGCTGCTGGGGGGAAACACGGGGTAAACCTAAGTTCACTATGTGAGTCAAAAGATGGGTCATTCGGACTCAGCTGCACACCTTGCCCAGCCTGTTCCCACAAAGGTGTGCTAAAACTGTTAGGTAGCTGACACCATCTCTCGTCTGGGAATTACTACAGGTTTCCTCTGTCCTTCAGATCTCTGATGAATGAAATACGTACAGTATGTAAGACACTCGGCTCTATACAGCTTATAGGATCAGAAAGTTTGGACACACTTGAGCTAAAACGATTAGCCCCACTTGGTTAGTGCTGAGGTATTAGCCAGTCAACACTGCATTTATAGGTTTCATTCACTGGTATATTACCAGTCAACTCAAAAATACATGTAAAACAAAACTAAACCGACATAAAAAATGCCCATATGATCACATCGCCAAGAGCCTCTTCCATGGCAACAGCCATTTAACTTGGTGCTGAATTCTCATAAATAAGCTCCTCAAATATCCTGTGTTTAATGTCAAAGCTTTCCTTTCCAAAAGGCTCATTATCAACAAGTCATTATAAGCAAAAAAGTTATTTTTAATAGTCTTGGGGATACCACTCAAAAATGTGCAAATATCCTCCAAATCATTTACAATGCAGAGCAAAACAATTAAGAGTTTGACTTGCTCAACGTTTTTCAAATTAAGAATTTTTTAAGAAGAAAATGTCATTATTTCAACTAAACAATTAAAGAGAAAGACAGAATGAAACTCTCAGCATTTGCTAGTAACAGACACGCAAGGCAGTACAAAGCTGGGACTGGCTTCTCCAAGTCACAGTAAGGTCGGGGACAGCTTAGTCCCTCATGAAGGAATTTCTCTTGCACCTCACTGCTAACACTGTCCTCACTTGTTACAGCTCCGTCATCATCTCTTCTTAATTACAGGACAGAAGAGAGAGACAGTGGTTCATTAGTGGTCTGAAAGACTAAACTTAGCATTTTCTGCTGTAGGTGCTTATGAGAAAATCCTGCGCTAAGGTTAAGTGCAACACTACAAATAGCCTGTCTGAACATAAAAGGGCTGAGTACCTGCACTACTCAGGAATTTTGGTACTGAATTTCAGACATTGCCTACAAAAATACACACCTCATACTGCAATCAGCGACCCCAAGTCAGGACAGGCCTTGCTTGTGTTTTGTGTCTTTGATGTCTTCTTCATGTTCTTCATCATCATGCACTGAAATGCTCAGCTGTCTCAGAGTGAATCATGTCTTAGCAGGAGGAGGGAGGGCAGAAGGAGGAAAAAAGGACACCCTACAGAAAAACATTCTTGGCATGGCCAAGCTTTTGAAAAATTCAGACAGCTCCAAGCATTCAAGCCTAGTGAGCTTTTGAAATGAAGGGAAAAACAAGAGGCTCATGCAGCCATGGTCTCGTTATAGGTATGTGTGGGAGGTGAGCTCCAGGTCTCACTAGCAAGGGAGATCGAACAGAGGCACAACCTGAAACCCCACAGGCCACGCACCCATGAGGGGAAAGTAGAAAGATGAAGCTTCAAAACAGCACCTTTTTCTAGGGTATTTCTGGGACAGAGAGAAAAGACCAAAGCACTGAGCTGTTGGGATTTATACTGATGCTCAAGCATCATTCCACTAAAACTGGCTCAAAAATGTCTGAGAACCTTCCATTCTGGCTTGCAGCAATCATCATAAAGCAACTGGGTTAGCATCAGGGATCAACCTGCAGCTGGTATTATACTTCTGCATTCTGCAGGGATAGGGAGAAACTAGCACAAGGGAGGCTCACAATTAGGAATTGATATAATTATGTCTCCAACTGGGTCATGCAAAGGAAGAAGCTGTAAGTAAAAAAAATGTGATAACATGATATTTGGGGTATTTAAGAAGGACTAATTGAATTTTCTAGTGAAACAATTTTCTGTTCTCTCTCCACGAGAATGAGACAGCCATGGTTTCTGTTGAAACGCGACTAAAACTCTTGAAGGAGTCATGTTGCAGTTAAGTGATTTCAAACAGTAGAAATTCTTTTACCTTACTAAGTGAAGCACTTCAATACACATTAAATATTTCTGAAAATATTTTAGGGAGCTTCATTTTGAAGGAAATTGTAACGTCCCTTTTGTTCCAATTTATGATGAGAGGCTATTTGGCACTTTGGCCAGCTCTAGTATTTGATATTACTGCCTTCAGAAAAGTTAGAACAGAAGGGCCTAACGTTGCCATCCCTGGCCTGACAACTAGTCCTTGCTCAAGTAATTACAGAAATTACATGTCTGAGTCTCTAAATCTCTCCCCTCCCAAAAGGAAAACCACAGCAGCCTAATCTTCCTGCACGATACAGTCTTAGACTTATGTTACATCAAAGCAAATTGAAGATGACTTCATTAAAGTGAACTGACCTGCTTTGATGAAAGCCACTCCAAGATGTGGCGTGCTCATTAGACTTGAAGCAACAATTTAATTCCAGTAGTTGAAAACCTTATTCTTTGTCCTACATGCTCTTGCAGTTTACAGAACAAAACACTTGCAATCTTTATGGCACAAGTAACAGAGGAATGAAACTTTCAACTCACAGGAAGCATCAAGCACTTTTTTTGCTATTTGTCTTATGAAAGAATTAGTTTGACAGCTTTCCAAACCATGCATAATGACAATCATTTCGTATACCTTTTTCCTAAATCTGATATTCTGTCTCTTCATGCTGATAATCCAACCCTGTTCTAGGAAAGAGTCATCTTATGTCTGACTTTCTCTCGGAACGCATTGCTGTGAATTTTTTTCCCCCATTCATTACCCAAATTGTAGTCTAGTCTGACTGACAGTTATTACAGCAATGCAGTAACATTGACCGATATAGAGCAGCAATTAAATAAATGATATCACATTGCTTCATTGTGCAAGAAAAGCACTGAGGTGTCTCTAGAAGTTCTTGGGAACAATGAATATAGTATATTTTATATATATGTTTGTGTGTGCGTTAAATTCAGCTATTACAGGCGATGTTCTTCAATGCTCGGTTGGTTAGCTAGACACAATATAACTATGTCTCACATAAGGTAACATTTGCATAGCATTTTTCGTCTCAAATGATTACCCATTGCTTCAGCAAATGTCTCCTCAACAGAATGCTTTGCCCCTTGACTACCTAAGTCAAGATCCTAACTCGCTAACCCCCAAATCCAGTTATCTGCATTGCTCAGCCTTCTGTGAAAAAACAGAAAAGGGGTGCCAGTTCAGCAGCATCTTCTCAAAAAAAAGGTTAGTCTTAAGAGATGGGATCAGGAGGCAGGAGATGGGAGACAGTGTCCTCAGGCCTGGATGAGGCAGAGGCCGCTGGTGAACAAGACGCACCTTCCAGCACACCCTCTGGGCCCTCATCCAAGGGGTGCCCCACAGTCTGGGACCACTGAGCTGAATCATCTCCTCGGGGGCCTTCCAGCATGCCAAACATGGGAACAACACCTGGGAGGGCACGGAGGAGCAGAATATTTCACAGCAGTGCTCCCACAGGATCCATAGGTGGGCTGCCAAAGACAGGGAGCCAGCAAAGAACAAGTTATTTGTGCCTTAGGTCTTGGGTGTTTTCTGCTCGGGGAAGACCCAGGGACAGCCTATAGCAGAATTCATTCCCGTGGGTCTCACCTACTGGAACAACGAGGAAAGGGATATGCTTCTGGAAATACTGCTGCTCGGCAGAGCGACAATTGCTATTGATTTTATATGCTGGGTGTTCGGGTCCTACAGTGATGGGCAGCAGTATAAAACCTAAAAAGACAGACGGAGAAGTGCTTCTGGTTCAACTCCCAGCATATATCTGGGGTTTAACCAAGGCAGATCAGATGAGAGGGCTTTTCCGTTTTCTTCTTTTAAAGCTTTCTGCAGACTTCCAGATCCTCATCTTGTATTTGAGTTGCCTACCTATGGCTCTAACTAGCACCCATTTCACCCTTTTTTCCATGGCTTGTGAAGCCATTGTGGGCAGGGTACAGCAGCATTGCTGATAGCGTAACCCTGCGGCTCGTGTCAGAGCAAAGGATTGAAATCATGCTGCCAGCTCTGAAACGGGGATGTGCACAGAGGGGAAAGAGGGAACAACCGTGGCAATGCCCAGAGAGCTGCTATTTTTAAAGCTGGGGTTTTTTTCTTTAAATTTTCAGCCTAAAAAGATCTACAGCCCATACACTGGGATCAGTCATACCCAGTTCAACACCGCAGATGACAATGAGGTCACAAATAATTAGTGTCTGTCACCCATTTCAAATTTATTGCTCTCACTGCAGAGATTTCTGTGTAAGAAAGAAATTGCTGGGAGAACGGAGAGCAGAATGAACCGGTCTTAGTTTCTTAACCAGATTAATTACTCCGCAGGATGCATAATTTTCTAGGAAGAAAAGAGACCTTCTATTTTTCACCATAAACCCT